ATATATATATATATATATGGCTTAATATGAGTATTTTTGTATTATGAGTGTTGCACAGTTTTTAGAATAGTCTCAAACCACTCAAAATTCAGTATTTTTAAAATGTTAGGTTATTTCTGAAGTGAATGAACATGGTACAGGATGCAATTTGTTGTCAACTTATCTATACTGTTCCACCCAGTAAAAATAAAACTGTTTTTGAACTCAGGAGAGAATATATCTTTTGAATGCTTGATCTCAATACAAATTGTACTTTCAGGAATGCCAAAATTTTGCAATATGAACTAATAACCAACAGGAATTGGCCCAAGTTTAAGCAGAAGAAAGGAGGACATAAGGTGTCAAACAGCTTAAGTCTGCCCTATGTAATTATATGGTCAAAATTACTTTTTACATCATGCTTTAAAGAGAAAAATATTTTGGGGTATTATTTTATTAATAATACTTAATATCTAAGTAGAACTTTCTCAGTTAGTTCCATTTTACCCATTTCCTTTGAAAAGTACCCTTCTGCCACAACATAAACAAAACATAGTCCATAATATGGTGACATCAGACACATGATAATTTGTGGTGTGGGCCTTGAACTGAGACCAAATCTTAACTAACCCAAAGCTAGAGAGGTTTTCTTTCTTGCATATGCCCAAAGTAACTAATATCAACTCACATTTTCTGTAAGCCTTAAAGAAGTTTTACTTAACATGAGAGGTTTAATAACTTACATTAAAGACTACACAGTGCTCTTCTGATATTGTTCACCAACTGTTTTTATGACGGTAACTCCGAGATCTGGAATGTGATCGAAAATGAGAGTGTTTTGCTGTCTGTGCTTTCGTCTCAGAGTTGGCATACCCTTTGGGAGACTTACACGGGGAGCTTGCTATGGAGTCAGAATGTCTTCTGTGTGATCTTGATTTTGTTCCTGAGCTAGTCTGCTTTTGAGGTGAATTTGATAGTGATTTTCCTATTGACTTGGACCTTTTTTGTAAGGACTTGGACCTTGACCGTCCTTGAGAACCATTCCTTCTTGGGGTTCTTGACTGCCTTGCTGAGGTGGACTGCCTTGGGAGTGACTTGGAGCAAGACTGGATTGGCTGGAAGAAAATCGCCTGTGTCGAAGGCTCTTTAAGGCTATCAGACCACCTCCTGTTTCTTCCCCATGAAGAACTTCTACTTCGAGTTCTCCTTTGGCTGGGGCTTCTCCATCTCCTATGATCATTTGGAGAACAAGGGTGACGTTCTTTTGATTTCATTTGGCCTGGTGTTTTGCGATCACCTTGCGCAAACCGTATTTCAATTTGACGACCACATACCCACTTTCTATTGAGGTTATAAAGAGCATCTTCAGCATCACGAACATCTTCAATGAACATTAGCAAATCCTCTTGGGCGGCGGGTGTAGAAGTCAAGTGGAATGTAAACGTCTACTATAGGGCCATATCGACTGAACTCACGGCGTAAGTCCTCAGACCTGGTGGTGTCCGCGATGTTCCTGACGAACAGGGAGGTGTAGGGGGGCCTCGTGTAGCGAGACATGGCGGCTTCCTCCGTTCCCTCAGTGTCTGCCAGCAGCCGCCGGGCTGGCTCCGTCCCTCGCCGCTGCTATTGCAGCCCCAGCCGCATCCGCCAGCCCCCGGCACAATCCCCTCCCCTGGGCCCGGCGTCGCACAGCCACTGAATTTTGATTTTTAACAATGTTAATGTAATTTACATCATTAAAACATTTTCATTTTCTTGTTAGTTTTTGCTAATATACAGAATTGAATTTATATACATCAATCTGGTATTTTACAACCTTGCCAAATTCACTGGTTAATTTTAATACTTTATCTGCAGATTATTTGGATTTTCTTCCTTAAATATTTGAAAGAATTCACCAGTGAAGGCATCTGGGTCTGGTGTTTTTTGGTTTTGTGTGTTACTTTTCTTTTGGTGGGAGCCAAGGGCGTGCTCTGAAATCTTTTCTGTCCAGAGGCCTTGACATTTGTTGATCCTTCATGTCTTACATGGCTGCTCCTTCATTGATCCAGTTACCTGCTCAAATGCCACTGCCTCAGAGAGGTCCTCCATGACTATCCCAGCTAAAGTACACCCACTCCTCTCAAAGACCATTTCTTTTTTTTCCATAGACTTATCATACCTAATTTAACTCTCCCCAAAATTTGTTTATACGTTTGTTGCTGATCTTCCCTGTTAGAATGTGAGCTCCACAAGGAGAGCTGTCAATCTCATTCCCCTCTGACTCTTCAGTGCTTGGCACACAGCAGGTACCCAATATTTTTAAAGTGATTAAATGAATGAAAGGAAGCCAAATGGATGCCCTTTGACATGACAAAGCTCCCAGAACACGAGAGCAATGATGAAAAGTGTTCATCATTGAGCTTCACCATGTTAATGTTAAAAACTGTCTAGGATCTCAATCAGACTTAGCATAGAACAAAAACCTGCAATATAATTCTGTAGTCTCTGCCAAGTTACTATGTCATTTTGAAACAAAGTGTAATGAACATAAAAATAAGACTTTCTAAGCTTCTGCCTTTGTAAATGGAACAGTTTAATGTTATTTTTTAAATTTATAGAATGAAATGTAATATGATGGTGAAAATTTTCTTCTTAACAGTGTTGAAAGTACCATTTTACATTCCATGTAAAACACATTCACTTGGGAGAAGCTTCCTGAATTCTGCCCTACTGACATTGGGTTTAAGTAATACCTTCATCCTCATGATTTTTTTGATTGCAAGTGACAGAAAACTCAACTGAAATTGAGCAAAAAGTTGTTTTTTTTTCCCTTCATGCAATGGAACATTTCAGGGATAGGGATACCTTTAGCTTGGTCTAGCTCACACAGTGTCACTGGATTCTAGCCTCTCTGTCACTATATTGCTCTTCTGTAATGGCTTTGTTCCCAGGCAGGTCCTTCCCCTATGACTAGTAGACAAGCAAAAATTTAAAAGGTTAATTTTAGGGAGTGAAACATCTTACCTCTACTGAGTCACAGACCCATGCCTGAACCAGCCACAGTGGCCAGGGTACTGCAGAACTCTGATAGGCTAGGTGTGTGTCACATGCCACCAATCAAAACACTGAGACTAGCGTAGGGGCACAATGCTTCCACCAAGGAACAATAGCAGATGTGCACTAGGGTTCTGTGTCTGCTAATACAGTCTAGTGTATTAAAAGCACAATCCATGTATTTAATGAATTCATCTGAACAGGAAAAATATCTGAAAGTGCTACGATTCAACCAGACAAGAGTTCAAAGGCTCGCATTTGTTTAAGATGATCATTCAAGTAAAGACAAAAAAAGTAAAGTTATATTTGGCAAGTAGAAAAGACATGCCAAATCTGTTTTATCTATAAGGCTCCACCAAAGATTTCCTTCTAAAAAAGGGTTGCATTGTTGAAACGTGTTTGGATACCAACAGGACTAAATGGGGGAAGGTAAGGATTCCCTGTTGTATCCTAGGGCCCTTTTATGTAGGAAGGGGTGTGCAATTCCACAAGGTAGGGAGAAGGGTCTGGTCTTAAAGGGCATCTGGGAGCACATTTGAGAACAACTCTCAGACAAAGGCATTTGGAAGGTTCTGAGCTCCGTTAAAAGTGAAAACTTCTAAACTGTATAATTAATTGAAACAGCACAAATCACACTGCTACACAACCTTGTCATCAGGTAAAACAAACTCCTGTCTTTGTGGCATTTGCAAGGCTTTCTTATCGTTC